TGCCCAGCTGCCACACGTTTTGACCAACCTAACCACAATGAAGATGCTCTCACCCGACTGGCCAGGGGAAGAAGTCCACAATAAAACTCTAGGAAAGGTTCCTCTGCTGTGCTTTAACTTCCCTCCCCATTTTCCAGAGTGGTTTAGTACACATTCTTAGGATTTTCTCCCCAGTTGGTTCTCAGTTGTCAGCATTTTTCAAAATGTTGAGAAAACACAATACTTAAAGGTCACTAAATATCACTGTTTTCTAAATCTCATCCATTCTGTTTGTCTACAGCTAGTGGGGTTGTGTCCATAGACTTGCATTAACTTTCAGACAGCAGTCATAAATACTGAAAATCGTTTTAGGTTCAGGTAGGATGGAGAATGGGGATCTGAACGTAAAGCCATCGTAAGATGGGCTTCAAGGTTTTTAGGAAAAAGCAACAGCCAAAGTTCAAGCTGCTCACATTTACTTCAGGTTAATATTTTGCAATTCTTTCACATCAAAATGAAAGGAAACTTTTATATTTACTGCTGCAGGAAGAATATCAAGTTGGAAACCTAACCTCTTACAGCACAACAATCCATTTCAAGTTCCTGAAATTTCTGAGTTAGTGATAGCATTACATCTTAGTACAAGTTTGGTCAAACAATCTTAAATTTCTCATTACCTTGGCAATGCAGAGGCCAGATATTCCAATGAATTATTAAACCATGCTTTGGCAGCTTATCATATTTTGACAACCCTGAACACATGCACAAGAAAGCGGCTAAGAACCTCAGGATTTTAGATGGTTTTGCTTACATTTGTACAGCAGAGCAGTTATCCATCTCTATATGATTTTAAAAGCATGCAGACAGACTTCTGTATCATTATGCTTGCCCTGTTTTACAGTGGAATCATAAAACAGAAATAGTGTATGATGGACACATGTGGTGTTACCCACGCCAACCTGTCACCTAAATCATCCATTTTCACGTCTCAAATGTCCTGGCCAACTTCTGCTTACACGTGATGTCGTGTGATCTAACCCACCAAACTCTGTAACGCTACAACATGACAAGCACTTGACAACAGAAACTTAAAATGCTGAAATCCAACGCATCTTAGTGAGCAAAATATATTTCAAGACTCCGTTTAGAAACATTGATGACTTAAAGGCTGTAGCAACCCTGCACAGTGCAACTGTGGAATTTAATGTATTGCAAATCCCATCACGGAGTTGATTCTTAAAATCAATTTGGGTTTTGCCACGCATCTATTGCCGAGATAAATCTAAGATTATAACGTGCAATTAATGGAATATGCTTATAGCTATGTCTGAAATGATCACACGGCACAAGTGAAGCTGCAGATGGAGAGGGGCTATTTTCAGCTACTGCAGAATATGGACAATCTCTCCTGCTACTACAATTTCACGCACAGTTAGCTTCACCTCCATTTCATCCTTCTCCGTTTTACACACCAGCAATACTCTGCATCTGACAGACTGAGGCTTAAAACTTGCAGCTGTCTAAAGCAATACTGTTTAAGCTAGCTCCTGAATCAGTCTGAAAGTGAATACAAGCTTTTTTCGTTTTACCCACAGTACAATTATGAAGTAATTAAAATATTTCACTGGACAGGTGTCAGCAGAAGTTAAGAGCAAGACAAACACTGGGCAACGAGAGCACCTCACAGCTATTTTCCGCAATGTCAATTCACAGAATACTGCACCAATAACAAGACCAGGATTAATAAACATCTTTCAAGGATATAAACCACTTGAAATCTGTAAACATCTCATTTGAAGTTGCACTGATGCTATTCAGCACGCAGTATTTTTAGGACTGCGCATATTTCACAGTTCATTTGTGAAAAGCAGCAACGATACATAAAAATTCTCAGATACACACGCTACCCCCTTACCTTTAATTTTAAATTCTCCTTTAAAACTCGGGCGCAAGTCACGCAACAAACTAACTCTTGCTTTCTCCATTTCTAACATACTTACAAGAAGAATTAACTTAAAATCCTGAAGTCAGCCCTGGAATGCCAACAGTTTGCAAGTCTGTTTGTAGCACAGGCTACCAACATGCTGGGTCACATGATAGGAACAAATATCTGCTCAGGTAATGAACGAGCTGGGTCACCTAATGGAATCATGCTTCAGAAAAATACAAATTCACGTACTTTGAGGCTGTTTGAGCACGTAGACACAGCATTAGCAAAACCCAGAGCACCACTGCTCTGGAACTTAGCAACATACAAGGTTGCTGATGAGCAAGTCAGGGATCTTACGCCCAGACGCGGGTTTTGAAAGTCAGATTAAAACAATTCTTCAAGCAAGAGGGTAGGAAAACAACTTTTGAGATCTGTAACATCCATTCACTCTCAACTTGCAAATTTTCATTAGAAAGAAGATTTCTATGGTAACCTAAAAAAAACAGGCAAAGGTAAAAACACAGCATTCAGGTTTTCTATTCTGCACACATATAATAAAAATACTACTTTACCAAGAAGCTACTATAAATTAGGTTGTTAATTCTTATCTAAGAGTGAAATCTTAAGTGCAATTACAGTCACCTATTACAACCAGCACTATCTTAAAACACAAGCCAATGCAAAACGTGACGATTCTGAACACAATCTGTTAAGGTATTTGTGTTCCGTTCTGCCAATACCAATTTTCCACTGGCCAGACTTCAAGGGAGTTCACCACAAGTTTAAAAAAAAAATTTTAAAAGTATCAACAAATCCAAAATACACATTTCCAAGCAGTGGTAACAGTATAAAAAAATTTCCACCTTCTGAGACAGCAGAATATTCAATATTCAGAATATTAGAAGCAATGCTACAATTCAGCACTCAACCATATAACCATAATGTTAGACAACACAGTATTTCTATGCGCACAGAGAGCGTGGAAAGCCTGCATTCAAACCTGGACATGAAAATGCATGAAAATAGCATCATCATCACTCCTATAATTCAAGCTGATATTTAACATGCTAGCTCCAAATCTCAAGTATCATTTGTACTAAATTTCTTCAAAAATGTCACAGAAGAAAATACAATAATCAAGACTTACATCAAATTATGCTATAGCTGCAAATTGTTCATAATTACTACAAAGCACAAGCAGAAAATGAAACTGGGTAAACCAACACAAAGACACTAAAAAAACAACTTATAAAATATAATCTCTTGGTTCCTATGTGCATACAACAAACTCCGGTTCACTGTGAAGGCATCTGTCGAACAAGACCCCATCTAACCTGAGGGGTTTTGTTCTGCTACATTCAGCCTGACTGAAATAGAAAAGGTTTTGAGACTGTTTACGCTTACAATGCAAAGCTCCGACCACAAAATGGCATTTGATTAGTCTTACACACAAAGTGTGATTATCCACAGGGTGCAATCTAGGTCTGATTCAGGATAATCAGAAAAATACCCATCGATTTCAGTTCTGTTTGAGCCAACTTTTATTAATGCATTGTTTACAATACAAACTAAGTTACATCCTTGAGTAAATTACTGACAAATTGATACAGAATTTTTTTCCCCCTCACAAGTCACATTGACAGATCTGCAACATAACTCCCCTAGTTTATTTTCCCAACAAGTGACAAGACAAATTATCCTGCTGCACAAGAACGTGGGCTACATCTTATGCACACTGATGCAAAACTGTGCAAATATTACCTGAACAAATAACAGCCTCCGCTCCTTGAGCGAGGACAGGAAGCCTCGCTGCTGCCACCGCAAGTGTTTCTGGTTGTGGTACACAACCACAGCACGGCTGGAGACCCTTTCCTATTTTTCCATTCCCTTTTAGGACATTAGATTTTATTCTGAAACTTTTCAGCTGTTGTGTATGTACCAATATGTACATATATATATGTGCAGCCCTAAGAACTGGAGAATTTTCCAGAGACAAACTTTCCTTTATAAGATTCATATACCTAGCAAAGAAAAAGTCTTAGATATCAAGTGCCATAAGGATCGTACTGAAATATTACTGCAAGCATTCTTTTGTCAATATATGAAAGTGCCATTTACAGTCTTATCTCTCACCTTAACTGTCTCTCAATATTAAAGAACTACTAATTGTTAAGTTTCTGCAAATCTCAAACACTTGATATTTAATATATTGTACCTGGCACTGCAATCAGTGATTTTGTTAAAAGTTATAGTGAGACTTTTTTTAATATTATGCTGAATTTAACTGACAGGAGAAGCCTGTGAGATTTCACCATTAATCTCATGTTGTTAGTCACTTAGCCATCTCCTAGTCATTAAAAATAATGTCAGCATCTCTTCTCCTTGATATCTCTACTTTCCTGACAATGATTGGTCTTTAATGTATCCTAGACACCTCTTAAATTACAACATATTTGAAAGCACGTATTCTTTTCAAGACTAAAAATTCTTCCTTGGTGACAGGCCTTAAGCAAGACAGCTATTTACTTCCTGCAGAAAAAGGCAAGGTTTTGCCTTAGCCCAACCGATGGCTGCACCGCCCGGCCCCCCGAGCAGACTACTCCCAACGCTTCCAGCTGTCAGAACCAGCTCAGACTGGAGCTGAGCAGTCCAGCCTCTTCAGGAGCAGACCTGGCAGCTGCATCAGCCCTTTGCTCCTCAGGACTGAGCCCAACTCCCCCGGCTGTTGCACTATGGGTGCGTGACCGAGCAAGAGCTGCGATCAAGAACACAAGCCCCCTTACCCCCTCCCCCCTCCAGATGCCATACTTCTTTCAACTTAAAGCAGCTGGACACAGCTCTGATGAGTCCCCTCACACTAGAGAAGGGCTGTCACAGAACCCAAGGTTCCTCTGCTCATACAGGTACGCTGTTTTACAGCAGTACGGCAAGCCTGCAAATCTAGACCTTGTGTATCTCGGACTATCAAGAAACATTGCATTTTCCTCTTGAGATTATAATCCAGATTCTCATCTATTTTTAAAATGAAAACTTTCATAAACATAACGTAATGTGTTCAATTATTCCACAAAGGATTTGGTCCAAAACCCACCTTTCTGGTTTCCAACTGAGCTTCTTCTTGGCAGCACTGCCGGCAGAAGGGGTCCAACTGATTCAGATTGAACTGGCCAAGAAGGTTGCAGGAACTGCATAGCAAGTTACTGGAGAAGCCCAGCTCTCTGCAAGCTTCTGATGACAACTGTGCTCCGTATACACTTATCTGAAAATTAATACAATGTTATATTTTAATACTAAAATTATTTGTTTAAAAAAAAGGAAGATTTTAAATGCTTTAATGATTAGGAAAAACAACTTAGTCTCTTGTGACCGTTTTAGTGTAATGCCTAATGGTCTGCCCATAAATACAAGACACCACCTTATTTTGAGGAACAATCTTAAAGTAATAGTGAATTCTAGACACTCATAATATGTGTATTTCCAGGTACCAGACCTGCCCAAATTCACTTTTATATACACTTCAGAGGACTCTACTTGTTTCCTATTGCTAGCTCCAAATTAAGAAAAAAACCCCCAAAACCCAAACATAACGAATCAGCTGAAAGACACACGGCTACAGGTCTCTAAAGCCTGCTCTTTCAAAACAATTTCAGTGAATTTCCTATCACAGATAACACACTTGGAAAATAAGTACATATAAGTACAATAAGCAGCTAAGCTTGGGAAAAGCACCACCAGGGAGTGAGGAAACAGGCCAAACTGCATGCAAGTAGGATTTTAATTTCTTGTTTGCATTAATGTTACAGGAAAATTGCATACCGAAAGTGGAGGCGTAGATAAAAAACTGCAATTCTGATTTACTAGTCATACATTAAAATAGGAAACTCAATTACATGGCTTCAATGTATTACACCAGTGCTGTTTTTAATAAGCAGCCAAAACAATTTTACCAACTACCCCAGCACTTAAATGATATGTGGGTTTTGTTTTCACATTCCACTTGCCTACACAGGGTTTTCTCACATCCTAGATCAAAACCTTTCCTTCCAGCTGTATGCTGGGGTGGGTGAAGCAAGAGAGGAAATTGGGAAAGGAGAGTTTTCCCAGATGCTTCTCAGCCTGGGTGAAAGGCCTTGGACAAAACCCACAACATCTATAACACCACCAAAACAAGCACCTCTGTCTTCAGAGAAAGATGACAGCAGCAAACTGGACTGGATGGTAACAGACCAAGAGTCTGAAGAATTAAGCTGTGCCACACAGAAAAACACAGGAGAAAAACTAAGTTTGTCCTTCAGCAAATCAGACTTCTTGTCACACTCACCCATATTTTAATATATGCAGCACACCAAGTCAGGTACAGACAAAACCCTTTTTCCCCTTAAATGGCCAACCTACAGCCAAAGAAAAGACGTGCCACTGATGTGACAGATGGAAAATGTTATGGATCAGGAACTGGTAGAAACTACTAGGTGCCTCATTATTCTATTTCTCTGTACCGGCTCAAAAAGTTAAAGCATGAACAGAAAAGTATGACACACAGAAAATTAACTGGAAATTATTATTCTGTTGGGCAGAAAACTCTTTTTCTTCTTCCTGCAGAACACCGCTAAATTTCTATATGTGACAGCAGGCAAAGAAAAATGGGACCCTCTTCTACCGGAATCATCTATTAATCATCCTGTCCAAGGGATACTGACAATAAGAAATACACCACCACCACAGTAGTACAGAAAATCTAAGGAGGATGCCAAATACTGCCAAAGCTCCATTTTAATTACTGTTCACTTCTTAAATTCATGATGATGACAGTAGCTAAAACAGTTTTCTTGCACCTTGCTGCTTGCCATCCACCCCTTTCGTGCTCTACTGTCATCTTTTCCTCTCTTTTGAATCTGTTCACCTGGGAGCAAAGACAGTGCTGCTGCCATGGCCAGTCTGCTTCCACCAGCAACACCCTCGCACCTTTCCCCAGCAGAGCTCTACAGCATCTGGGTATAAGGCCAATACCCTCCTATTTTTTGGGGGGAACGAACTAAAACCCAAATAGTGCATGAAAGCAAGTAAAGTGGCCATTACAAGTGAATTCCTCAGTGAAGTAGTTCTGGTTACACAGCAAGCTCAAAACAGCTTGAGAATAAAACCGGGGG